AAACTCACGATAGCCTTGTGATGGTGAAGCCGCCGTTAGGCCGAACCCATCAAGTTGTGTTGGTTTTCTCGGGAGGAGTTACTTGTGTGCCAAACCACCCAAAGGGGGAGATATACCCATGGCCATGGCAGCTCCAACTTTCGTTGGACTGCTGTTGGCACCAGCCAAAGGGATATTCGAGAATATGTATTTGTTCTCAAGAAAAGATATCTGAATCGTAATGGTATTAGGAAGCCTTTGGATGCGTTTTAGGAGGAAAATACATAAACCATGTTTCTTCCATTATAAATAGCGGGTCATGTTAATGGATTCTTAAGGCTGCAAACATTCACTTAAGTCACTCTGTAGAATTAGAGCAAAGAGCCACTCGGCCCAGGGAAGGCCAAATTAACATTCATAGGAAGGTCAAAGGTGTAGCTAAGGAGATTCCTTCATTATCGATGGTGGTAACATTCTTCTCTTCTATGTATTGCTAGTTCAAATTCATTGTTAAGTAAGCATGTGAATTCTATTGATGCTTATACCATCTTCTTTCTATGATATAATGAGATGCATTACTCATTGTTTATCTATGTATTTCGATACTTAAACCATTAGATGGGTTTGTCATGTGATGCTTATATCATTGGATGACTATGTCATATGATGCTTATGTCATTTGAATATCTTAGTCTATAATGCTTTAATCATGTGATGTCTTCATCAACTATTATGTGCTACTATAGTGTTGTTTATAATACCATTCTATGTTGCATGGGAAACCCAGCTTATGTGGTATATCATTTATAATTGTCGAAAACATATTTATTTTGTGTGCTTAATGTGATTATTACATTATATGTTGGAGACATATAATGCTTGTTTTAAGGCCAACTGACTCTGGAATGGTTGTAAGACCATTACCTCCGTGTATTAGAATTTCGATATATTTTAGGTGGAAAGATAGAAATTGTGGAAGTACAAGCAGACAAATGGAACACAAATCAAGTCTATGACAAAACCAATTTGGACCGGATTCTTGACCTAGCCCCGTTAATTAAAGGACTCATTGGACCGGCTAGGGGATTTATTTTGACCGGGAAAGAAAGAGTTGGGGACGCGTCCAAGTGGGAGACGGAATGGGCCAGGATGATTGAATTTTATGGCCCAAGTTCCTTGTCCGTTTCTGGGGGGGGGGGGGGGGGACTATACTGCACGTGAGAATGAGAAGGCGTTTCATTTAATTCAAGGGAAGAAAGGAATTTGGGGGGGGGGGGGGGGGGGCAAATTCTTTGGGGAAACAGCAGGGCGAGAGGCGACCAGGCAATTGGCTTCATCGAGCGGCGATTGGCGATCGAACTGTCCAAAGCAACGTGAGCCGATTTCAACGAGAGCGATTAATTTGGTTGAATTTCCTAGACCGAACTAGTTGTTTATTGTTGATTTAGAACATGATGATCAAAACTATATCGATTTATCTCGGTTTCATCATGAACTAAATCGCAATTTTTGGGGGAAACACCATAGGATGTAACTATTTCTAGACTTGAATGATTGATTCATAGTTCTTTTCTTCCAATCTCTATTGCATGAAATTACTTAATGCTTTGTGTTGAATGGCCACCAATACATCGATTTGGAGTTGATTAGGTTATTAGCGACAGTGAAACCGTAATAACTGAACATATTTCATGTGACACAGTAGTGATATCCTGACTGTAGAGATATGGATTAAACTGATTGGAATATGTGAATTAATCTTGATATGATAGGTAGTGAATCCCGGTGTTTCTACCAGAGCTTTCTCCCATTGATTTCAACCCGACAACTTTAATTTGCTTGTTTTGTTTAATTATTTTGCTATTAGATAATAATTTCATCAACCAAACCATTTTTGCCTATAGTTTGCTCCATAGAATTGATAAATCATAAGGTTGTACCAGTCCCTGAAGATGATACCCGGACTTTCTGGTTTTACTACGAGATAGGATTGAGGCATTCCGCTTTTGCCCTATCAATCATTGTGTTAGGCATGTATAGAATGGAATGCTCAACCATCTATACTCGACTATGTGCAATGCTTGATGCCCTAGATCATCAATTTAAAAGTTATTACTGTGGTTTATAGAGGCCCTATATAGTTAATGTGCTATCCATACTTCCTTTATTAATTGATTAGTCTATTGGCATGAAGCGAAAACAAGCATTAGCTAGTCATAATTCCTTTTGCATGAAGTAAAAACTCAAGCAGGATGACCTTAGTAGAAGAGATAGAGATACGTGATAGAAGACGGATCGTTGCTTATCATTATTGAGATTGAACTGCACTATCATCTAGGACTAACTTTCTTATCAAAGCGTATTGGTACTTTCTTGTCATTTAAATTATGTTTTACTTTATAATGCATCTCAAAAACCAACTAAACATATAGAACATCAATTGATCAATTTCTATTGAGTCATTGTTTGAGCATTAGATGATTGGTTGTGAATAACTAGTAACACTTTAGGAAAATCCAACATCGACAAAGCACGGGAGAGATCCATGGTTCATAAGTAAGAAACCGGTCTTAACTAACAAGACATGTTTTGGGGTGAAATGGAAGAGTTCTTGTGAGAACTCCGAAGTTAAACATGTTCAGTGTGAAGTACATCAAGGATGGGTGACCTTATAGGAAGACACCTTGAATTGCACCCCCCAAGTCAGAAATCTTGAGGTTCGAGGCCCAAAGCTGACAATATCTTCTTTTGGAAAAGGTTCGGGATGTTACAAGTGGATCAGAGTCTCTCTGCGTCCCTCTTGAAAAATGGTGGGGCAAACCTCAACAAGGATGTTGAGTCCCAAGGGAGGGGGAGGTGTATGTAACACATTAGGCGAATCTCACATAAAAAATACATGGGAGAGATCCATGGTTCATAAGTAAGAAATCGACCTTAACTGACAAGACGCGTTTTGGGGTGAAATGCAAGAGTTCTTGTGACTTGTGAGAACTCCAATGTTAAACGTGCTTAGTGTGGAGTACAACAAGGATGGGTGACCTTATGGGAAGTCACCTTGAATTACACCCAAGTCAAAAACCACGAGGGTCGAGTCCCAAAGCTGACAATATCTTCGTCGGGAAAAGGTTCGTAATGTTATAAGTGGTATCAGAGCCTCTCTGCATCCCTCTTGAATGATGGTGGGCCAAATCTCAACGAGGGCGATGAGTCCCAAGGAACCGGGGGGTCTATGTAAGTATGTAACACCTTAGTCGAATCCAACATCGAAAAAGCACGGAAGAGATCCATGGTTCCTAAGTAAGAAACCGGCCTTAACCGACAAGATGCATTTTGGGGTGAAATAAGAGTTCTTGTGAGGACTTCGAAGTTAAAGATGCCCAGTGTGAAGTACAAAAAGGATGGATGACCTTATGGGAAGTCACCTTTAATTGCACCCCAAGTCAGAAACTGAGAGGGTCGAGGCCCAAAGCGGGCAATATCTTCGTCTGAAAAATTTTCGGGATGTTACAAGTGGATTAGAGACTCTCGACTCTCCGCTTCCCTCTTGAACAATGATGGGGAAAACCTCAATGAGGACGTTGAGTCCCAAGGGAGGGGGTGTATGTAACACTTTAGGCGAATCTCACATATAAAACACAGGAGAGATCCATGGTTCATAAGTAAGAAACTGGGCCTTAACTGACAAGACGCGTTTTCGGGTGAAATGGAAGAGTTCCTGTGACTTGTGAGAATTCCAAAGTTAAACGTGCTCAGTGTGGAGTACAACAAGGATGGGTGACCTAATAGGAAGTCACCTGAATTTCACCCCAATTAAAAAACCATGAGGTTCGAGTCCCAAAGCAGACAATATCTCACTCGAGAAAAGGTTCGAGATGTTACAAGTGATATCAGAGCATCTATGTGTCGCGATTGAATGATGGTGGGCCAGATCTCAACGAGGCGATGAGTCCCAAAAGAGGGAGGGGGGGGGTATGTAACACGTTAGTCGAATCCAACATCGAAAAAGTATGGGAGAGATTCATGGTTCCTAAGTAAGAAATCGGCCTTAACCGACAATATGCCTTTTGAGGTGAAATGAAGATTTCTTGTGAGAACTCCGAAGTTAAACATGCTAGGTGTAGACTATAACAAGGATGGGCGACCTTATGGGAAGTCACCTTGAATTGCATCCCAAGTCAAAAACCGTGAGGGTCAAGTCCCAAAGCGGACAATATGTTCGTCGGGAAAAGGTTCGGGATGTTAAATAACTATTATAAAAAAAACCTTGTGAAATACGACCCTAGAAATTTTTAGGATTTACAACTTTGATTTCATTTGGTTTGCATTAATATCACTACATACATGCACATCATTCTTAAACAATTTTAAGAGTTCGATCCCGAAGGCCACCCCACTTTAACTCCACTTTGCATTAATATCACTTTTCACTACATACATGAAAACCTCACACCCTAGTAGTCTTTGTTTCTTAGATGTTTGTGAATGATGACGATCTTGTGATGATTTTTGTTTGATGTGTTGCTAGTTGGTTCTTGCTAATTAGATGAAGACGTTTGATTATTTTTAATTTGATGAGTTGGAATTTGGATTTTGAAATCATAATGGATGTTGTATATATTGATGTTATTTCTCATAATTATTATTTCTAGGATTTTGAAATGATTGTTTTGTTATATCATGATACATATATGAAATTTTTGTTATAAATTATGAATGTTTGTGACCATTTTGTTACTGAGCCAAACCTATATGACCATTTTGATCATTTACCTGAAAAATTTAGGCGTGGCTTCATCTGGTCGGATGTATTTGGTTGCTTGGGATTAGTGATGGCAATTTGAACCCGCACCGTGGGTATTACCCGACCTGACCTACGATGGGGCGGGTATTACCCGACCCGCAGTAGCGTGGGGCGAGGCATGGGTATCTACTTCCGAGCCGCCCTGCTCTGCCCTGCCTCGTTCTTGACCACCAATTTCCGCCGATTGCATTTTGCACCGCATCCATACTGCAATCACCACCACCACCAAGAGAAACAAACAAGCCACACACTAGCTTTTTTCTGCAATATTTTCCAAAGTTTGGTGATTTCGATTGCTCCGCTCCACCAAAATCCTCACGGATCACTTTGCATTATCCTGGTCATAATTCGTTCATTCACCAAAAACCCATCTTCAGGGGAGCAGCACAAACAGGGGAATCGGCAGAAAGCTCAACAAATCCGCCGTTTTCTGAAAGGATGGGAGTAACCTTATTTTCCGTATCCACTTTCCCCTTGAGATGCAGCGGTAGCAGCTTCCCGCGACAATCAATTCCTCGCCGTCATTTGCTCGCCAAAGCAACTCCCGAAGTCTCCCATGAAAGCAGCAACTTTAAAGATGGGAAATTGGATGATGGGTTTCTTACTAGAAGGTCGGTCGTGGGATATGGGGTTTCCTTACTGTCGTCCTCTACAGTGTTGGGAGTTACTGGAGAAGGAATGGCAGTTGTGAAGCAGGGTCTTTTGGCTGGGAGGGTACCTGGATTATCTGACCCAGATGAACAAGGTTAGTACTGTTTCCTCTACTTAGTTATCTCTCAACTTTTTTTTATCCAAATTGGACTGGTAGAATATGGGGTTTATGGGTGAAGAATTTTGTTCAAATCTGAAAATTGAGAAAACTGATCAGACAGGTTGGAGGACATACAGAAGGCCGGATGAGAAGTCAGGAGGGCACGGTGTTGGATGGAGTCCAATCATCCCATATGCTTTCTCAGTGCCTCAAGGTTGGGAAGAGGTAGTAAAAAACTAATTTGTGAGTTGTGACAGAATGAATGCCATTTGATGTTCTAGTAAAATCATCATATTGTAAGTAAAAGCTTATGAACTGTGAAGTCTCTTTAGAATCCATTAGACAGAGGCAGCATCATTAGTAAGTGGATTTTTTTGAAATCCATTATTTGCCTCAGTCTAATTTGTGGCTTGGTGAATGATTCCTAAATCATAGTCCATAACTTCCCAAGACTTCCGAATCCATAGGTCCACTCCCCCACTTCGTCATTTAATAATGGGAGTCACAAACAATGCACCAACCAAAACAATGAATTTCAAAATCTATTTCCTAAATCAATCCCAACTTTTATATCGATATACTTCTCAGTATCTATCAATTTGGAATCCATCAGTCAAGTTGAATTCTTACAGTTTACCTGGTTTGTTTGTTTTGTCTATGAAGGTTCCAGTCTCAATTGCTGATCTTGAAGGGACTGAGATCGATTTGAGATTCGCCAACTCCAAGGAAGGACGACTGTCTGTCATTGTTGCACCAGTTCTTAGATTTGCAGACTGTGAGTCTCGCCACTACTACCATATAATATAGTTGATCCTGTATGTAAATCTCCTAATCATAGTATCTCAACGTTTGCTCTTTGACATAGATCTGGGTGAAGATGCTAGAATCGAACAGATCGGGCCTCCGGATAGAGTGATAAGCGCATTCGGACCTGAAGTGATTGGGGAGAATGTAGAAGGGAAGGTATTAAGCATGAATGTAGCAGAACATGGTGGAAGAACATACTACCAGTTCGAGCTTGAGCCGCCTCATGCACTCATCACAGCAACTGCTGCAGGAAACCGCCTTTACTTGTTCAATGTCACTGCAAATGGTAAACAAGTTCTCATGCTGTCCCAAAGGACTTGTGAAGATGCAGATAATCAGAGAGATGATTGGCTGATCTATTTATTTGTTTTGCAGGTCTTCAATGGAAGAGACATTACCCGGAGTTGAAGAAGATAGCTGACTCCTTTCGTGTTGTCTAGTCAGTAGCTTGTTAGATCTTCGTACAAAGAGAAGAAGAGTGCGAAAGAGTACTTCGAATCTCTTAGTGTTCTCGTCATGGAAACAATTGAGAGGCCAGAATATACGGTGCTTAGTAAAGAGTATGCAAGTTGAGATACTATCTGTTACTACATACTAGCAATCCTCTTCATGGCAACTTTGTAGCAAGACAAGGTTTTCAAAGCATGAATGTACTATTTTTCTTCTTGCGATACTACGAATGTACTGTGTATATATACTAAGATGGATTCACTCATTGTTCATTCTATATGGATTGGGGGATATGGACATTGGTGTACAGATAATGCATACATTTCCCCAATCATACTTTCTATGTAAATGAGTGCAGCTAAGATTGCATTAAAATTATGTCGTCTCAATTACTAAATGAAATCCATTTACAATATACATCCAATAACCAAGTGCATAATTGATTGCAGCTAGAATTTTCTTTCTTTGACCTAAGTCCTTTCGATCACTTGCTGTGTTTTGGTTGGCTTTTGTGAATTGTGATTGTCAAAATATTAGTGGAAGGTTTCGTAATAAATGCATCACTTCAACAAATAATACAATCGACTGGGATAAAGTACCTACAACTTCTTCCGCTTACGCCATCAACATTAAGTTAGCATCCTATGAAACTATGACACTACAACAATTTCTCTACACTGAAGAGCAATTCGCCACCAATACCATCTGAAGTAGAGATGCCGAAAACTTTACGTGTGGATGTACTGGGAAAGCAGGGCAAGTTTGTTGAGCAAGCAAAATTCAGGTAGGCTGCTGAAGTAGAGCAAGAGCAGCACGAGGCCATTCCGCAGCGAATCGGCCAACATGTAGATGGCGGCTAGAGAAAAGGGCAAGCTGATGATGTTCCATTCCAAGGACATGTTATCATGGGAGAGGCATGGGAGGTTCCCATTTGGAGAACTCGACTAAATTCCTGTTCACTATTGTTTGATTGTGCAGCCAGAATGTTTCGTGTGATTGGTGGAACTGCCTCACCTTCCTCTGGAGTTCCCACATTATTCCTTGCATTGTAGAACAGGGCTGAGATTCGGGACCATACACCCACAAGCATCTTATTCGCCTCCCGTTGGCTATCATCCTCTCTATGTCTCTATCTACGCCAAAAGAAAAAAAAGAAAGATATAAATCAAGTTCAACCGTGCAATTCCCCAACTTGAACATAATCCTTCAATGTGTGCAATATTTACCTGGTATAGACTCAAGGTAGTTTAAAAGTTCCGGGCCAATTCGACTAGATGGCCATTTGATTGATATCTGGGAATAGTCGATCACATTTTGGAATGGAAATTCTGCTTGGTCTGACAAAATAACAGGGACACACTCCTGCAAAACAAATGAGCATGAAATTCCTTTGTAGCCACAATTTTAAGCATATCCACAAGAGCTAGAAGGAAGAAAGAGACCAACCACAAAAAAGGATTCATAAAAGCGAAGGGTCCAGGAAGATTCGCCCCGTGGTGCAAGACAGAACTTTGCATTGCGGAGATGTTCAAAGTATTCAGCCCTTCCCAATTTATCAGGTCCACTGAACTTCAGGTCTGGACATTCCAACTGTTTCCAAAACCCATGATGCACTTCATATGTTAGCCACAGAACCAAGAAAAAGGAATAAAAGACTAGCATGCAAACACACAAAAGAGAGAGGATCCTGCAATTTAGTTTCCAGCAAATTGCTTAACCAAACATCCTCATGTCTCAGCGTTTTAATTCAGATAATATTTAGTTGTTTAAAAGGCCAACACACAAGCAAAAACGCCTGAAACCAGGAAAAACAACAAACAGCACTATCCAGTCTACAGCACTTCGACAAACACCTGCCAGACACATAGATAGAAGCAATGCACAAGAAAAAGAAAACATAAGCAGAACAAAAACATAAAAAAGGAAGCAATGAAAAGTTATCGAGTCAATGCGCTCAAGTCCAAGATAAAAATCTACAGCTAAAGATTGTACATGAAAAGAAAACCAGCCATTCAAGGCCATCAAAGTGTCAGAGAGAGAACAGCTTACTTTATCTGGAAATTTTTCTGACATCTCAATGAGCTTAAGGCGACCAGCTTTCCCTTGTGCTCTACCTAAATAATTTGCCAAGTACTTCCTCTTTGACAAAGGTAAAGGTTTAACTGTGGTAGGTCTTCTCACAGTCATTCCATCTTCAACATTACCAGGGATGATGATATCTTTCCACGTATTGAAAGCAGTTATATCCTTTTTATCAGTTCGGTCGCCCTGCACTAACACAATAGTTCCATGCATTTTAACATGGTTTGCTGTAAAGGAAAAATAAACATGAATTCATACTATCACTTCAATGGATAATAAGGCATAAACTGTTCCAAATACATGAGATTGTTCAAGAAACACGATTTGTACCTCAGGAGAAAGTATAATTGAACGATTTATGAATGTAGCCCATGATCGAAACAAGTGAGCTCCTGCCCCACTAAAGTCATGGAAAGTTATGCACATAGATCAGTAACAGTGAAGGGAATGCTAAGCACATACAAGATGAATGATCATAGTACCTTCTACATCTTAACACACCCTACTTTCCAGCAGTAAGGTTGAAGAAACCAACTACCGGTAATCTTTAACCATGTTTCAAATGTTCTCCTTGAAAGGAACAAAAAACTACCTTGGGAAGACGAAAACGTGGTCTCGACCTCCAGATCTCCTAAAGTAAGGCATTTGGCTTAAGACCTGCGATTCAAGCATTAGAGGTGGGGCAACCACAATCAGAAATTTGAAATCCCTGAAGAGTATTAGCCAGAAAAACTCAATAGATATAGAAAAATCATAATCCAGGAAGCAAATGTGATTACTTTAACAAAAGTTTGGTTGATCTCCTTATCATTGAGACCTCCCGTCATCCGTACACATTTCACATACGTCGGCACAAAGAACAAATCGGCCTCCTCTTTCTTCTTAGTCCGAAACCCTGATTTCAACAGCAATTTGTGTATCTTAACCTACAACATCAATCCAATCCACAAAATTCAACTTCAATCTCCGGTTCGCCGAATCAAACAAATAACAGGAACGATGAATTCAAAAATGGAAGAAATTCAAGAACAGAATTAACACAGACCTGAGTGCCCCATTGGCCTTTAACGCAAGCGTCAGCGGAAATTTTGCCATCTCGACCGCGCATCAGCTCTTTCAAGCCATCAATCTCGGTCTCTTCATAGACATAGATCTTGAGGGAGAGGACTGAACCGTAGCCACGGTTAGGCCAGAACAGGTAGCCGGCATCGGAGATACGCACGAGGCTCCTGCCGGAGCTAAGGTCGGTGCTGCCGAATGAAGTGGCGGTGCAGGGAGAGAACGACTGGTGAAAGAGGCGAGTGAGGAAGAAGGTGATGACTACGAGGAAAAGAGCGCCGATCTGGTGGGTACGAGTGCACGGCGCCAGAGCGTTGCCATGGTGTCCACTGAAGATTCTCGGCTGCTTGTTGGTCAAGCTCCCCATGTTTTCCCTTCTCCGTCCACTGCTCTTGTTTTCTGCCCGCTTTCCGATGGACTGTAGAATGGCGGCATGGAATGGCAATTTGCGAGTAAGAAATCTACAAAACACTATAAGGCAATGTCAAAATACAGCTTTTGCCACGTCAGCCCATACTGGAACCGCCGCATAGTGCGGAGGGGTTTTTCAGTCAATTCACCAAGCCTCTTCTTTCTCGCATTCTGGCTCCTATCTCCACCGGAAATCGAACCCTTCTTTCATTGTCACTGAAATCGAAAACCTCCATCTCACAGCATGTGTTTTTTCGCCGATAGCTCCTGCAGCGCTCCTCCGTGCCGGAATCGAAGACCTTCATCTCAAGCCTGTCTTTATATTTTGCCGCCCAAAGCTCATCGAGTCTTCCCAAGCATTCAGTCTTCCAATCCCTACCGGAATCGAAGACCTTTCTCTCGCCGTCCAGACTTTGTGTTGTGTTGCTGAAACCTCCTACTAAAAACCCCTCATCTGATTCATCGGGAAAAAACCCCTCATCTGCCATGTTGTCCTCTATTTGTGCTCCCACCCGTTGCGTCTCTCTGGCTCTTGCCGTCTGTCACACTCTATAATTTCTCCAGCGCCGTCCTTTACCAAATTAATCCTAGATAACGCCCCTCTCTCGCTGTCGCTGTTCTTCTCTCTGAACAGCATCTACAAAGGGAAGGATAACGCTTGAGCCTTATATCCTGTTCATGTAAGTTCCTTCGCTTTGGTTTTTTTGTATTTTTGCTATTCGCAATCTGTAAATAAGATTTGTGTGGTGTGTTTGTACCGATTATTTTTCATTTTCCAATGCGCGTTCTTTCCAATTTGCATACCATATTACCATTACTCTTTGTCGGTTTTGTGCTACAGTGGTGTGCGTTTTGTTCTTTGAACGAATTTAGACCCAATTTTTGGATTAGGAAGGGAGGCACAGTTTGTTGAAGAAATAATCTCCCCTGAATGATTGGTTGCCTTTTGTGATGAGATTTATATTGGGTCTTTATCGATTGCAGTAATGCCCCCAATGTGTTGCCGCCCGGATACTTCTTCTAGCCAGAAGAATGGTTCATATACTTCCAACACTCTCAATCTATGTAATATTCTCTTTCTGAATTCATTTTGATGTTATGTAAAGATTGTATGAATTATATGCAAACAACTGTTTAGTGATATGATTTTCTACTCAATTATGTCTTTGTTAGGGAAAGGGAGGACCATATGATTTTTGTGCTTTCATTTTCAATAGCAATACTTTTAGGTCGATTACTGATACTGTTTTCAAAATGACAAAGGGTTCGAGAGGTCCAGCTTCGAGGTCAGTTTGAAGTCGTTGAAGGGGAATAAATTTCAATTCTTGGTGAAAGCTCTTGCCCGCTTTTATACGCATGGACTATGTGGTTTTGAAAATCATGAGTTGTTAAGATAAAACCAAAGATTGATTGGGCAATCGTGTTTGGAAATACTCTGCATTTCATTGTTTAGTTCATCGTTGTCATGCTTTATGATAGAACAATTGGATTTCGTATTGTACATATTCTTGATTTTAGTAGTTTGGTTTTGATTCTCGAGCTGTGTCTTGAGGGAAATTTTAGTTTTAGATTGTAAATAGTTGGACATGAATCTGTTGGTTGCGTCGAGCGCGAGACTTTATACCTGTCTTTCAAATAACTTGACCACAAGTTAAGCTCTATGATAATGTTTGGCACAAAGAAAGATGAGAGACAGATTTAATATATGTCCTAAAACAACTAACTGCCTTCTGCTTCTTTCAACACGGCTAGGCTAATTAATTAAAGTTTCACCCTCACTTAGACAGCTAAATCGAAACCCACCTATTAGAACTTAAGTCTTACCTGAATGGGCCTATAAGCCCGATTGTTTGAGTTAGAGGAATGTAAAAACCCGAAAGCCCAGTTCAACCAATTTCTAGACCCGACCGAGCTTCTAAGTGAAGAACAAAAACGACAGAGTTTTAAATCAAACTAAGTCAACCTTTCCCGCTTGAGTGATTTCGATCAAGCTGAGACCAGTTTCTATTTGAGTGAAGAACAGGGGAAGAACTCAAAGAACACAACAGTATAAACCCAGAAAATTATGATGAAAATTAAATCAAACCAGGTCGCGATAGGTTCTCCAACCCAGATCTGACCGTTCGTCTTCCTTAGCTACTCTTGATCGAATTTCCCTGCACACTCAGACTTGAAACATAACACACACAGAGGTGCATACAAAACTGAAACTGAAAAGCAGAATAAAAACACAGCCCACGATTTTTACGTGGTTTCCAGTATTGGGAGAATAAGAATCCCAATACTGACTACTCCACGGTCGGAGAATCACTGTTGTGTGATCTCCGACGATTCACTAAAGATATAGCGATGAAGTTCGATGTAACTCTATCTACCCAAGAACACTTTGATCAATCTCAACCCGATTGATCAAACTCTCTCTTCTCAAACCCCGAATTGCTTCCCCAGCAACTCGTAACAGTGTTTCCCCAACACTAACCCTCAAAGCAATTCTCCCCGAACCCTTTGAGAAACCCCTTTTCTATCAACCTTGCTACTCTCACAAAATCCCCTTTTGTCCTAGCTAGCTTTGTTGATCTCTTGGAAAAGGTTACATTGCTCTTCCTTCAAATCGCCTTTTATAGGTTGCCAAGTAACCGTTGCTAATTCAAATACCTTCCCTTATTAGTGATGATTTGATTGAGATTCCATCTTCTGATTTGATTTGCATTGTTGTACCAAATCTCCTTAATTTGATCTCTCCTCTTATTTTCTTCCTTCTTTCCATGTTTGCTCCTAATCTTCTTTCCTTCTTAAGTGGCCTTTGACTAGCTTTTTCCAACATTCTCCCCCTAAGCTATCAATGGCCAACATTCTCCCCCTGAACAGGATGTCACTAACTTCAGACTAAACTTGTCAAAGCTTCACTCTTAATCTAATAATCAGAACCTGCACACTTAAGCAAACCGTTGGTGTAGCCTGTCCAACAAACAACTAAGAGCTATCATGAGTTGAAAAGGCAACTGGGAGTCCATTTTTATTCGTAAATATGGTAATCAAGGTACATTCAACACAGTGACTCAACATGACAAAGTTTAAACTCATTCAAGCAAAGAACAATGACCCAACACACTATGACTCAAACATAAAAGAGACATCCAACTTCTACTTGATTAAACCAACCCACTTCATAAAGGAGACAGCAGACTTTTACTTGATTAACCTAAACCACACCATTCAACTAACTCTAATTCATCTATTGATCTCCCCCTAAGCCTAGTAGTCGACGGTTCCTAGTAGGCGTAATCCGGAGATGAAGCATACTCCGACGAGTCGTCTTCGTTAGGTTCGGATTCATGTTCGGATTCAGACTGAGTAGATTTGTCTCCCCCTTGAACTTTGGCAAGTTTTCGAGGTCCAAGCTCCGAGAGAGTGCGGCGTAGAACATGTTGGGCTTGAAGGTCTGAATGTACATCCATTTTAGTAATTTTTCCACGCAAATCAACCCCTAAGATTGCTAGCAGATAGGTGATTTGTGGGCCAAAAGGCAGCTTCCTACTACACTCTTTATCTTGATATTTAATCATGTGATTAAATATCAGGGAGGCATAGCTGATCGGGTAGCTTGTCTTTGCGTTGAACAGAATCCAGAGATCGGACTCGTCCAGAATGGTGGCCTATTCAGCAGCGCGAGGGAGAAACACGTGACTGATGTAGAACTGCAGGGCCTTCAGATCATCCAGTAGCCGCTCAACGGAAAACATCAAGAGCTGGTGACTCCCGTAATCACTACCTAAGTAAGACATTGTGTCTATGGGGTGGAACCCATAGCTGTCAAAGTCTTCTGCAGTTCCAGCTTGGTAACCACCATGAGGGAGATGCAACAGGGTATCCAACATATCAACAGTAACCATCACACTGAAATTGTAGATGGTGGTGCTGAAATACGACGGATAACGTCTAGGACTGCACTGCATACTCGCGTAGAACATTCTCACAGCTTCAGGGCACTGATCAAGGAGTCGATTCTGAAGCAGAGAACTCCACTCAAGGTCATTGATATATCCATTAACCCTCAGTCTATACCGATTGAAGGTGGTAGGAGGGATGAGGAAATTAGTGATTTGCTCGAACAGAAGCTTAGGGATTTTAGGCAGTCGCTGAAAAAGGAAAGGCACCACTATTTTGCTGAACTGGAATCACACGAGCAATAAAGAGAGTCTGCTAGGGTGGAGATTAGGCTTATGCCCACAACCCGAGTGAGCGGCGATAGCAGAGGATTTCGAATGAGGGGACTGAACAGGCAGGAATCTCACGAAAGGCTGGGAGATGGACAGGAGAGTGAGCTGGGCTTAAGCCCACAAGGCCTGGTGAGGGGCTTAGAGAATGAAGGCCGAGGACACACATTGAATGTGTTTAAGAAGGCTTAGCCCACTGATAATGATCAGACCAAGAGGCCATAATCAGACCTTGAAAAGCTTAACCTAAATCGTTAATTTCACTAGACAGAATAAGCCCTAGTTCTCGACGAATAGTTAGAAATTGGTCAGCACATAGAGGTTTAGTGAAAATATCGGCCCATTGATTTGTTGTAGGCACAAACTCAAGCTGAATTTGGCCTTCTTCAATCAATTCTCGAATGAAATGATACCTAATTTCTATGTGCTTGGTTCGAGAATGTTGCACGGGATTTCTTGCCATGTTAATGGCACTCGTATTGTCACACAATACGGGCATGGACTTTATTTCTAACCCATAGTCACAAAGTTGATGCTTCATCCAAAGGAGTTGAGTACAACAGAGGCCGGTGGCCACGTATTCAGCCTCAGCGGTGGAGAGAGCAACAGAACTTTGTTTCTTACTAAACCAAGACACAAGTGAATTTCCTAGAAATTGACATGTCCCGGAAGTACTTTTACGATCAACTATGCATCCAGCATAGTCTGAGTCACTATAACCAATTAACTCAAGACTTGACTCACTATCATACCACAGACCTAGATCCATTGTACCCGCCAAGTAACGAAAGATTCTCTTGACTGCAGTCAGATGACTTTCCTTAGGGGCACTTTGAAATCTAGCACATAGACACACACTGAATTGAATATCGGGTCTACTAGCAGTGAGATACATTAGCGACCCAATCATTCCTCTATAAAACTTCTCGTCAACTGACTTGCCCGACTCATCCTTGTCTAGTTTAATTGTAGAGGCCATAGGTGTATTTGCAGTTTTTAAATTCCCAAATTCAAAACGTTTTAACATATTTTGAATGTATTTGGTTTGACTAATGAAAATACCTCGAGTTGTTTGTTTAATTTGCAAACCTAAAAAATATTTTAATTCTCCCATGGCACTCATTTCAAAAGTTTTATTCATGATACTTTCAAAATACTCGCACAGCTCTTTGCTAGAAGATCCAAATATAATGTCATCAACATATATTTGAACTAGTAGCATATGTTGTCCTTTATTTTCTATAAAGAGAGTTTTATCCACTGAGCCTCTTTTAAAGCCTTCTCCTAAGAGATAAGAACTAAGTTTTTCATACCATGCTCTTGGTGCTTGTTTAAGTCCATATAGTGCCCTCTTTAATTTATAGACATGGTTTGGGTATATAAAGTCTTCAAAACCGGGTGGTTGTTCCACATACACTTCCTCTTTTAAATCCCCATTTAGAAAGGCACTTTTGACGTCCATTTGAAAAAGTTTGAAACCCTTAGAGCTAGAAAACGCACATAACATTCTAATAGCCTCTAATCTAGCTACCGGAGCAAAGGTTTCATCGAAATCAATTCCCTCTTCTTGATTATACCCTTTAGCTACCAGCCTAGCCCTATTTCTAGTTGCTACCCCATTTTCATTTGACTTGATCTTGTAGATCCACTTAGTCCCGATAATAACTCTATTGGGAGGTCTGGGAACTAACTCCCACACATTAGCTCGTTCAAACTGACTCATTTCATCATTCATAGCAGCATTCCAGTTTTCATCATTCAAGGCATCTTGCACGTTTTTAGGTTCAATCAATGACACAAAAGCAGTATGCACAATTGAATTTCTAGAGCGAGTGACCATACCTTCATTTAGCCCTCCTATCATTAGTGAAGAAGGATGACGTTTGGCAATATGAGGAGGAGGTTGTCTTACTTCATGGTCTTGCTCGATCGGAGAGTTTGTAGTACTTACTGCTTTATCTTGGTCTTCAGATATAATTGTTCTGGGTTCAGAATTCTCTGTGTTTGATGTCCTTGGTAGATCATAGCTCCCACCAAGTCCAAAATCATCTTCATCTATCTCATCTGAACACTCATTAGCAGATTCATCAAATATAACATTTATGGACTCTTCCACTTTGAGAGTCCTTTTGTTGAATACTCTATAAGCTCTGCTAGTCATGGAGTAGCCTAAAAATACACATTCATCGGACTTGGCATCAAACTTCCCAAGATGATCTTTGGTATTTAGTGCAAAGCACTTGCAACCAAAGGGATGGAAGTAACTCAGATTGGGTTTTCTTCCTCTCCAAATCTCATAAGGAGTCTTCTTAATTCCAGATCTGATCAAAGCTCGATTAGTAATATACCATGCAGTATTGATGGCTTCAGCCCAGAAGTACTTAGGCAAACCATAGTCATGTAACATTGTTCGAGCTATGTCAATCAAAGTCCGATTTTTCCTTTCCACCACTCCATTTTGTTGCGGAGTTCGAGGAGCAGAAAAATTGTGACTTATCCCTAGCTTATTGCAGAAGAGTTCAAACTCTTCTGAGATAAATTCTCCACCATGATCACTTCTGATGCTAGCAACCTTAGATTGTTTTTCATTTTCCAATTTCCTAGTTAGAGACTCAAAATTTTGAAAAGCTTCACTTTTGCTGGCTAGAAACAATACCCAAGTGAAACGAGAGTAGTCATCTACAATTACAAAAGCATAGGACTTACCTCCATAGCTTACCACATTGGTTGGTCCGAAGAGATCAAGATGAAGTAGTTCAAGTGGTCTCGATGTAGATATTACCGACTTACTCTTGAAGCTTGACCTTGTATGCTTCCCTTTAGCACAAGCATCACAAAAGAATTCCTTTTTGCCTTTTAACTTAGGCAGGCCTCTGACTAGCTCAAGATCACTAAGTTTAGACAGAATTCCTATACTCACATGTCCAAGCTTCCTATGCCAATCTATTTGATCATTCTTTTCTAATGACATTAGACAAGTTACCTTGAAACTTTCTTTATCATCTAGATCTATGACATATAACTTATTTTTACGTCTACCGGTGAAAAACACTTTCTTATCCACCACAGACTCGATGTAGCAACAATCATGTTCAAAAACTATCCTCTTATCTTTGCCACACATTTGACTAATAGAAAACAGATTATGCTTAAGACCTTTTACTAGCATCACATTTTCAATGCAAGGATCTGAACCTACTGTACCTCTTCCTATTATGTCGGCAGAATTATTGTCACCAAAAAATACCTTACCACCTTTACCTTCTTTGAGAGTGGTGAATAGGTTTCGATTTCCTGTCATGTGGTGTGAGCATCCACTGTCTAATATCCATTCAGTTTCCTCCATGCTCACTTGGAAGCAAACCTGCGCCATTAGCAGTCATGCAGTTTTGGGTTTTTGTATCCAGACTTTCTTGGATACAATTTGTTTGTGATCTTTAAGAGAACAAAATCTACTAATGTGACCGACTTGATGACAAGTAAAACAAGTTCTATATTTTTCATTTTGTATTCTCTTTCTGCATACTCGCCTAATGTGCCCAACTTTATGACAATAAAAACATTCTATGTTTCTATATCTTGGAGTTACTGTTCCATTCCTCTCATGCTTAATTGATTCTCCAAAAATCTTCGACTTACCTTTACATGAATTTGATCCTAATTTTTCACAACATCCCTTAGTGGAATGATTTAGGTAAGATTTACCTTCCTTTTTCAGAGATTCAATCTTACTCCCTTCTAATGGTACTTGAAGTTTTGCTGTGAGACTCGTTTTCTCATTTTCTAAAACTTCAACTTTCTTAGTAGTTTCATCTAACTCTTCTTTTAATCTGATTGCCTCCTTCTTTAATTTATCATATTCAATGTTTATTTTGGCATGATCAGATTTCAGTTTAGAGTATTTTACTTTGACATTTCCAAACTCTAACTGAATTTCCTTAATAGTGGATACTAATAGATCATCATCACTATAGTAATCACTGTCACTGAAATGAGTATGGTTGGAAGGTTTTACCTCGTTTGAGTTATGTCCTTCTGATGGTTTTTCAACATCAATAGCCATGTAGCTTTCTTCTCTTGTTTCCTCTCCATCCTCATCTTCTTCTTCGCTGCAGCTCCATGTTGCAGCCATGGCTCGTTCTTTTCTTGCTAGAGGACATTCAGCCTTGATATGCCCAGTTTTTCCACATCTAAAGCATCCGGTAGTGATTTGACCCTTTCCCGGCTGAGGTTGTTCAGTCCTGCTTTTGTGGAATGTTCTTGATTGAGGATATTTTGATGTACCACCTTCTTTCTCAACTTCTCTATTCTTGTTGATGAAGTTTCCTCTTCATTTTTCTCTTCTTACTCGAAGTAGTCTACTAATTTGTTTGCTTAGTAAAGCCAATTCTTCATCCTCCATATCATCGAGATCTTCTGTGTCTTCATTGTATGTGGTAGCCTTGAAGGCTATCCCCTTTTCCCTTTATCATGATTTCCCTTGTTGAGCTTGTCTTCATGAGTTGCTAATGACCCGATGAGTTTATCTATAACTAACTTCTCTAGATCTTTAGCTTCCTCTATTGCGGTCACCTTAGGAGTCCATTGCTCTGGGAGACTCCATAGAATCTTTCTAACAAGATCTCCACTTTCGTACGATTTTCCAAGATTCTCCAAACTGTTCACAATATTTGTGAAACGCTCGTACATTTGCCGGATTGTTTCTCCTTCTTCCATTTTGAACAACTCGAATTGCTGTTTCAAGGAATTAATTC